TATACCACAGTTGACCATCCAGTCTACCCATTTCCGTTCATAAACTATTCCAGATTTTGGATCTCACATACGTTATAAAAGCCAAAAGTGACAGCATATACCATAATTAACCATCCAGTCAATCGTTTCCTCTCATAAACTATTCCAGAATTTGTGTAGTATGTATGTTATAAAACTTTGGCTATTATCTATTTGCATCATAATTAAACAAAAAGCAGAATGTCACAAAAAAATTGAGCTGAAGCTGAAGAGATTTGGCATTAACCAAGGTATCAAATACAAATATTACATTACATCCAGCTATAAATTCAAGGCAAGAGGTGACAGAATAAATGACAACTCACCACATGCTGCCTCGGTATTTAAGAGTATATGGCCCACTCTCTAGCGCCCTACCAAAATGGCTATGCACCTTATGCCTCTCACCCCCACTTTGATCCATAAGTGTTAACTCGAAAAGAGCCCTCACGTCCGTGCCCTCACTCGCTAGGGCAATAAAAAGTGAGACATATGTCGCGTTATCCTCCACGCTCTTCCCGTCAGGATAGAAATAGATCGCCCACGAGTACCCACCGACCATAAAGGTGTCGGACGCTATATACTTTCCGATCCCAATTCCCTTGGACAATGAATACCCCGTAATCTTGAAATCGTGAGACCCATTCACAGTCTCAGTTATCGATGTAGATGTCGTTACTGCGGGTGCCGACGGAGACGCCGTCGACGACGAGGGCTTGCCGGTCTCCTTATAAATCCTTCCCATGCCTACCATGCACGCAATTATTCTAATAAAACCTTCCCAATTAGTCAAAATTACATGACAGATATAATTTAACTCAATTTAATTGAATTCTTTACACACCAAGGAAAAATAAAAAGATCGATTCAAATTTTAAAATTTTTGGGGAAATTTTTGGAACGGCGATCAGATCTGGTGAGTTTTGAAGGAATTTGACTCGGGTGACTGGGAAATGGATTAGGGTTTGATTAGGTTCGAAAATCTAGTCTTTCTGTTTGAATTAGACGAGAAATCTGCAAAATCTGAATTTCTAGGGTTTCAGATGATACGATGACGAAGATGAGAACTTTTTTAGAGAGAGAAAGTATATACGTAGAAAGAAACAAAAAACGAGAAATTCAGGAGACATGAAATTGATAATAGCAGTTGGTGAAAATCGCGTATTTATAAGGCCAGTGTGACATAAATTTTATTGCTTGGATTTGTTGGCCTACACACGGGTGTACACTAAAGCTGAACGGAAAATGCTATTGGTACCCCGTCCCTTACCTGTTGGTATACATGATGATGTGGAAAGTGAAGGACAAAAAAATAAATAACCAAAAAAGAAATCAAAAGGAGGGAAACCAGCCTTTACCCACCAAATACACAAAAAAATCGGGAAACCAAAATCATTGAAACCTATCTCCCACCATGTGGCGCCCAAACCTCGACAAACCATAGAAAAGGAAAGACAAATTTCAAAATTGGACCAAATATACAATTGCTACTTGATACACCAGACTAAAGCTCGCGAGAACACCAGCAAATCGGAGAGGTTTAGGGAAGAGGCGTTCCAACTTGAAGCAGTCGCCGTCTTCATACATTTAGCTGCATTAGAAAGAGTTGTTCCTGCTTGAAGCTGTAGCTGGCTTTGTTGATGCAACCAAATGACGGAAAAACGTATATACTTTGATGGATTTCTTGTCCGCTCATGTTTTTCCCAGTTTTTCCCAACCGACGGGTTTGATGTGTGTTAAATAAGTTCAACAATTAATTTTTACAATTTACTATCCATTCTATTAACAAAAAGCTCTGAAATGTCTCTTTACAGAACATATCTGTTGCAGAGATGTTGATTTTTAGAGTGATATTGAAATAGTTGAATTAGGGGAAAGAGTTAACTCGTTGAAAATTAACATCTTTGCTGAAATAGTTATCTGTTGGATGACGTCGTTCTATTATAATTTCATTGTAGAAATTTAACAGCTCTTTAAGATAAGTCATTGTAGAAATTTACTAAAGGGGGGAAAATTAACCTCACATTTGGTGTATTTATTGCAGGCAATGAAATACTAGAGGAGGTGGATGACGTCGTTATATTAGAGTGGGAAAATGACAACATTTTGGACAACGCGAACGACGTGGATGTTGGAATTGTAAGGGTAGACGGTGTGATTGTCCCCGAAGTGGGTATGAAGTTCAACGAAGAAAAGGAAATATATAATTCGTACAAAAGATATGCGTACGACGTAGGGTTCCCAGCTAGAAAAAGAAATTCACAAAAGGATGATGATGGAATTGTAAGATATGTTGTGTTTACATGTAACCGAGAAGGTGGAAGGAGTCGTAGTACGAGAGGTTCTTTGAAGCCGCATACTACCATTCAGACAGGCTGCAAAGCCAGGATTACTGCATCTATGGATGCATGTGGTCTGGAGAATTAACACAGTCAATCTCATTCACAATCATAAAACAAGTCCTTCGAAGTCCAGATTGTATCGTTGCAACCGAGAATTGAGTGCTCATGTTAAAAGACGGTTTGAAGTAAACGATATGGCAGGGATTCCGTCGCACAAAAGTTATAACTCAGCAGTCGTAGAGGCAGGAGGGTATGAGAACATGACTTGCGTGAAAAAAAATTGTCGAAACTATGTTGAACAAGTTAGGCGGTTAAGACTTGGAGAGGAGATGCCACAGCAATATAAGCCTATTTTTCGAACATGTAAGCAAAGTGCTCAGGTTTTTACTTTAGTATGGATTTAGATGAAGAGTTACGGCTAAAAAATATTTTTTGGGCAGACAACAGAAGTAGGCAAGCATATAAAGAGTTCGGCGATATTGTAACATTTGATACAACGTACCTAACTAATGAGTACGCCATGCCGTTTGCTCCTTTTGTTGGAGTTAATCATCATAGACAATCAATACTCCTTGGCTATGGGTTGGTCTCGAATGAAAATACTGAAACAT